CATAATGACTATTTACATAGAATTTACATTGTATTAGATATTATAAGTCATATAAAGATGGTTTAAAGTATATGAGAGAGGGAGCATAGGTTATATGCAAATTCTACGCCATTTTGTATAAGGAACTTGAGGTTTCTCAGATTTTGACATCCACGAGGGTTCCTGGAACCAATCTCCCATGGAAACCAAGGAATGATTGGTCACTAAATCATGCACTTTGGGGGCTGGGGATGTGGCTCAAGTGGTAGCGCGCTCGCCTGGCATGCGTGCGGTGCGGGTTTGATCCTCAGCACCACGTACAAACAAAGATGTTGTGTCCGCCGAAAAAACTAAAAAATAAATATTAAAAATTCTCTCTCTCTCTCTCTCTCTCTTTAAAATTAAAAAAATTAAAATAAATCATGCACTTTTAAATAGATAAATGGAAAGTTTTATTTCACTAATAAATGAATGAATTTAATGTTACAGAGAAGGAGAGCGCTGGAATTTAAATACAGCATTTGCAGTGAGCCATGTGAGGAAGGTTAATTTGGAAGGCAGGTGGGTCACCTTCCTGCTCTTGATCAAAAGATAAATGCTCACTCCCTGATCTACAGCAGGGATCAAAAACTCTTGCTTGCTGCCTTTTTGCTCAATAAGTCAAAACATTTTCTTGAATCTCATATACTCATTTTTATTATTTTGCTTCTCTCCCCACCCCTGGGTTAATCCAGGGGTCCCCTTTTTCAAATTTTATTTTGAGACAGTCTTGATATGCTGCCCAGGGTAACCTTAAAATTGAGATCCTCCTGCCTCAGTCTCCCAAGTAGCTGGGATTACAGGTGTGGGTCATTGTGCCCAGCTCTGTCACTTTTTGTCTTTTGAAAATTCAAGTTCAAAAAGGAAAGGTCGTTTTTCTGAGCCCACACAGATGGTCAATAGTGGAGCTGTCACTAGAACCCAGGACCTTTCGGGAGAGTTCTAGCCAAGTTTTCAGAGCCTGATGCTTGAGTTAGAAAGTCATTGCTGACCCAAACTCTGACATCTGCCCCAAACATCATGGAGAGCAGGCACTAGGTTAGAGTAGGGCCTGAGACAGTAAGGTGGCCTTGGAGCCCAGGCTGGTAGATGGAGCAGAATGCAGAGAGAAGGAGCTGGGAAAAGTAAAGCTCTTTCCAGAGTCCTCACCCTGTGCCAGCACTTCAGAGGCTCTCTGACTGCACCAACTCCCCATCCCTTCATCAGCTAATGACAGAGTTCTCTAAGTTACAGGTGCCGTGATTCCCACACCTGCCCACCAGGTGAAGAATCAAAGTAGACACAGAAGCCATAGGACAGTCACAGAACGACATGCTTTGGGTAGGGGGTTTCCTGCAAGGGGAGGCTCCTTACCAATGCAGTTTGAGAGCAAGCTAATGAGGACATAGAGACTGACCAGGGACTGCACCCGGGGGAGGTCCTCTTCATGGGGGGTGTGGGCAGTAATGGGAATTGGGGGATCATGGTGTGGCAGACTCCTAATCATCCCTCAGAACCCTGCCCTGGTGTCCTCTTTCCTGTATCCTTCTCTAAGCCAGGCAGATCCAATGGCTTCAGCACCATGCCAGCCCTCCCTCGCTGCAGGTATCAGTTTGGATTATACTCATCTGTTCCCATGTGAAGGCTCTGTACTCCCCAAGGCAGACACTCTGAGTCTTTCCCCAGTTCTATTTTCCCAGACTCACCTGGCTGAAGCCTGAAAGGAGGTTAGTCTTCATACATTCAGATTCATTCCAGTCCACTCCTAGTTTTCATGCATTCACACATTCATTCATTCACTCACTCATGCAACAAAGATCTTCCACAGGCCATGCATGTCTCCTTCTGCGATTCTTAGCTTCTCTGTCTTAGAGAAATTCAATGCATTCTAATGTTGAACATACCTTGTAAACATGGGAAGGAAATGAATGGATGGTGACAGGGTTATGTTAGCAGGGTGAAATTTCAGGGTGCACTTCCCACTCCATTTCTCAATTTTTCCCTCATGTGGTTGCTATTTTACATTCATAATGGGAAAAAAATCAGGCCATATAGGAATGCTATATTTAGAGCATCATAAAAATTATACTTTTCCACATAAGAAGTTATAATGTAATATCCATTATGAAAAAGAGGAATTTTCCCACCAGAGAACATAATGCTACCCGTTATTAGCTCAGGTTTACTTAAGGCTAAAGGAGAGACTTTAGTGAGACTAATATCTAACAAACCTCTCTGGGTCAAAGGCCTGTCTTCTGTTCCTTTCCCAAAACCTCAAACTGAATATTTTGGGGTCCTCTTTGGAACACTGGCATCATCTGGCATTGCCAGGCTTCTGGAACCTGGGCCTTTTCCAGCATGTTCCATACTGTCAACATTCCCTAGCTTCTTGGAGTCTGCTGCAAACTGGAAGTGAGAGGTTAGACAGGAATTAACCAGGGAGCTCCTGCTGGGGAAAAAAAAATCCCCCAGATGCTGAAAGAGAGGCTGTGTGGTTTGGCCAAATCAAGTTAGCGCCTTGGTGACTCTCGTATCCATGGGGCCACCCTGCTGATGAGCTGCCGCTTTGGACCTGGGACCAGGAAGAGGTAAATTTACTAAGGATGCACTACACTCAGCATGATGCAATAGCACCAGAGGCAAATGAGCTAACTGTATACCCAGCCGGGACACTCCCTTTGGAAGCAAATAAGAACTTGGTGCAGTGGTTTCCAGGATTATCCTGAATGGTATAAATACTTCTTGGCTGCTACTGTGATCACAACTTTGCAGTGAGTTGAAAACTGAGGCTCTGGCTCTAGAGGGCTCAGCATCACTGATCTGAAACTTCTCAGCCACTTGAACTTGGGAACTAGGCAGTCACTGTGGATCCTGAAGTTCTCAAGGCCAGATCTTTCCAGCTTCCTTGTGCCCGACCTACAGAGGCAGCTCAGCAGCCCTGAGGTGAGTCGTCTTCATGTCTGGAGAGGCTGCTGTTTGGAGATTTTGCTTCTTTCTCTTTGGGAAAGCTCATAAAACTGGGAATTTGCTGCCTGTAGACATAAGCAGACAGAAAACTTAGGAAATGAAGTTCCAACATGAGGTTGGGTCATTTGAACCTGGCATCTTATTCAGATTTCTTTTCTTCAAATATTTGCTGTGATTGCTACATTAGAAGGAAAAACTTTCTGGAAAATTCAGAATGAGGTGGGGAGAAGCATTGCTAAGAATGTTTATTTTACATAGATTATCTTATTCAGTCTTTATAACATGTATCCCTCCACTCCCTAAAAATTCTGGTAAGGTGGATATCATAGCTCATTTTATGGATGGAGAAATGAGTCTCAGCTAAATAACTTGAGCCAGGTTGAGTCACCAGCAGAATTAAGATTTGAACCCAGGATGTGGGCCCTATCCCCAAGCAGTCTTCTAGCATGAAGCTGTTCCCAAGGAGGAAGTTTGCCATGGGAAGCCAAAACCAAATAAGGTCTGTATATTAGATCTCTGATCGTTGTCTTTTTTATTAAAAGAGATGATCTCAAATATTGAGAGTGGAATGCATTTTTCATAAATAATTATTTTCTCTTTTTTTTCAACTTCAAGTTTATTTTAAAGATATATGCAGGAGTTAACAAATTATAATTAAAATGGAATCAGTTATCTTAATTCCACATACCTCAAAATCATGCAATACTGCATGGTAAAAACAACCACTTCATTCATATAATTGTTTCCTCTTTGCATAATAAAAAAGGAACGTGCAGCATTGTTGACCTAAGAAGAGCAACAATTGCCAAACCTCCCCCCCACACACCCCACTTTGATACTGGGGATTGAACCCAGGGGTGCTTAACCACTGAGCTCCACCTTTGGCCCTTGTTTGTTGTTTATTTTGAGATAGGGTCTTGCTAAGTTGCTTAGGGCCTCGATAAGTAGCTGAGTCTGGCCTTGAACTTGCCATCCTTTTGCCTTAACCTCCCAAATTGAGCTTGGATTACAGGCATGTGTCACTGTGCCCAGCTCACAATTGCCGAATCTTTTTTTTTTTTTTAGAGAGAGAGAGAGAGAATTTTTTTTAATATTTTTTTTTTTTAGTTTTCGGCAGACACATCTTTATTTGTATGTGGTGCTGAGGATTGAACCCGGGCCGCTCGCATGCCAGGCGAGTGTGCTACCGCTTGAGCCACATCCTCAGCCCACAATTGCTGAATCTTAAAAGAGTCTTAAAATCTTAAAAGAGACAGCTTGGGGGTGGAACTCACATCCCGGGTTCAAAAGAGTTCTACTGGTGACTCAACCTTACTTTGCAGTCTCTTTGCTTTTCCTCAGCCCTTTCTTTGGGCTGCTATGACTTGGGGGGCATTCCGCAACCACAGGTGTAACAGGACAGTGGTGGCTAATTACAGCCACCGGATCTCATCTTGCAGGGTCAGGCAAATGCACCCATGTTTGATGTGTTACAGTGACCACCCAGCTCAAGCCCACCTTGCCTCTCTCCAGGGAAGAACCCGGCCCAGGTCAGGTGAACCACTAAGGAGGCTCATGAGGCATGTGGTTTGTCCTTACTGAGGTGTGATGCTGCAGGAGCAATGTTGCTCTTTCATAGTGTTTTTAGAGCTTTGTAGAATTAAGTCAATAGGGTCCCAAACCCAACACCCAATAGGAACATGGTGAAGAACATTGGGTAGTTGTTCACGACCTATCTTCACTTTATCTTAATTTTTTTTTTAGTTGTAGATGGACACAATTCCTTTATTTTGTTTATTATTTTTATGTGCTGCTGGGGATTGAACCCAGTGCCTCCCACATGCTAGTAGGCAAGCACTCTACCACTGAGCCCTAGCCCCAGCCCCAGCCCTACCTTTACTTTATCTTGGTTCTTTAGTAAACTGATCTCTTGGGAAGGCTCAGTCCTGTAAATTCTTCACTCTTGCCTCACAGTCTCTTTGCTCTTCCTCAGCCCTGCAGCAAAGAACATCTGAGTGTGAATCCAGATAAAAAAGCTACTTTGTAAAGCCACCAAGATGGCCTGTCCCTGGAGGTTTCTGTTCAAGGTCAAATCCCACCAGTTTGACTTGACTGAGGAAAAGGACATCAACAACAATGTGGGGAAAGTCACTCATGCACTTTCCAGGTAAGGGTTCCCTGCTGCCACCTCCCGCTTGACTCTCTTGGTGTCCATCATCCTCCGTGCCCCTGGCACATAAGTGTTCTCTCTGCTCCTGGCCTCTTACTTGAGGTTTAGTCTCTGGGTTCTTTCCTGGAGGTCTCTGTGAAACCCCTGTTTTGGAGGGGGGCACCTCATTGTGCCTGACACTATATGAAAAAGGAAGGGATACACCAGATGTGGTAGTGGACACCTGTACTCCCAGTGACTCAGAAAGCTGAGGCAGGAGGATTTCAAGTTCAAGTTCAGCCTGGGCAATTTATCAGGACCTTGTCTCAAAATGAAAAAAATTAAGAGTTGGGGAGATAGCTCAGTGGTAATGTGCCCCTGGGTTCAATTCCCAATATGGGGGGCAGAGGAGAGAAGGAGATATGGCACAGTGCTGGCCCTGAGGGTGCTTGGAATCTCTAGCAAGACTATGTGAGAATGGGAGGCAGGAGTGCCTAGTGGTTACCACCAGGCAGCATCTTGACCAGTATCTACCATGAGTTGCCAGAACATGTACCTTACCAGTTGTTGGATTTTTTTTTTTTAATATTTTATTTTTTAGTTTTCAGCAGACACAACATCTTTGTTTGTATGTGGTGCTGAGGATCGAACCCGGGCAGCACGCGTGCCAGGCGAGCGCACTACCGCTTGAGCCACATCCCCAGCCCAAGTTGTTGGATATTTTGAATAACATCCTGCTGAAGGATGTCAAAGGTGTTCTGTGCCTCACTAGCTGGCCCTGTGCCATCTCTTATCAGCTGTGTGACCTAGGGCAAGTTAACATCTCTGAGCCTCAGAAGTGCTTCTCTGCAGTGTGAGAACTCACTTCATAGCACATTAAGGATGAAAGGAGAGAGAGTGGGTAAAGCAACTGGAGAGCGTTTGTATGCAGCAGGCACTCAATAAACATTAGGGCTGTGCTTAGATACCGAGCACCTCAGCATTGCTAGGGCTGCAGAATGCTTCTCATACTTTGCATTTCAGCTGCTAAGTGAAACACGCATTATTTCATTCTACAGATGAGGCAATAGAAGCCCTGAAAGGGGAATGACTAGGTCACATGACTGGTAGGTAATTAGAGTTGAAATGTGAATCCAAAGTTTGTATTCTTCCATGCCATCCCCCATCAACAGGGGAATTAGTCACCTGACCAGTCAGTGCACAGGCTTCTAGAGAATGCTAGAGGAGTTCATAACCTTGGCCTAAGGGTTGAGTCTTGCTTAAACGGAAAGAAAAGTCAATGACCAAGCAAATCAAATCGAAGTCCCAATTGACACAGAGCCACCAGGCAACGTCACCGCCCAGAAGTGTCTTTCCAGGGAATGCAACAGGCAGAGCGCCCCCTGGAGGCGGACGGCAGATCCTGGGTGTACCTCACCTGGTTGTGGAAGAGCCGTCCAGTTTAAAGCATGGGCTTGGGGAGAAGGAAATGTTTTTGTCAATTCAGAGCCCTGTGAACTTTGGTAAGCCCCCTAGCCTCTAAGCCTCAATTTCCTCATCTGTGGTATTGCCTATTTTGTGGGGTTGTGGTAAGGATTAAATGCACAGTAAATCACTTAGCACAGGGCTGGGCACAGAGCAAGTGCTCAAGAAACAGCATCTGCTGTCGCCATCCTCATGTGCTTGCTGTTCCCGGTAGCTAGGAAGGGACTGAGCAACATTGTAAGCAGAGTCCTCCCCTGAGGGCTTTGCAGGTGTGCGTCATGGACTTTGAAGGGCCGTGGAATGTGGAGAGATGTAACAGAGACATTCTGGGAAGGGGGGGCGAGGAAGCAAAGAGAGGCAGAAGTGAACTTGACTGTGCTCTCCCTGGGTGTCTGTGGAGCTGGGAGAGGAAAGGCGAGGTCAGAGCTCAGGGAGGTAGAGTGCAGGGTCGGGGATCTGGACTCGCTTTGTGTGGCAGCAGAGAGCCATCTGCTCCAGTAGATTCTCCCGCAAGTGTGTCCTGGCATGGTGTGTGGGGTGAGTGGGAGGAAAGAACATTTGAAACAGGGAGCCACACTGTGGTGGCCAAAAGACCAAGTGATGAGAATGAAGCATTGGATAGCCTTGGGACATCCTGTTATCACTTAGGTCTCAAAATGCTGCAGAACTGACAATGGCTGCACCCCCTCCTCTTTATTTCATTACTGCTACCCCTGCCAACTGACCTCCCTGACTCCAGCCCTTCCTAATCTTTCTTGACTTTTAGCAAGCGGTGCTCCTGCTCTAGAGCCTGGAGTGGCTATAATTGCCTGTCACCAGTTATTCCTGAGGACTAACTTGTCTTTAGACCATTCAGGATACCTGAGCTCAGGCCCTCAGGCAAAACCCTGAGCTTCAATGGAACCTGAACTTGACCATCTATCTTTTTTCCTCTCTTCACACTGGGGTGGGCTGATAGAAAGGCTCAAATCAGACAGTAGAAGAGATGGAGAGGAAATGTCACACATTAATTCATTAGTCCTCCAACAATGCACGAGGAAGGAACTTTGGTATCCTTCTATTTTAGAGATGAGGACACTGAGGCCAGAATGTGAAAGTGATTTTTAAGATCTTATTAATGTTAGCAAATGAACAGAGCTGAAATTCAAATGGGCAGTCTGACTGTAACCACTTATAAGAGGTTGCTATATTTTGAGTCTTGGACATGTTCCATTCTTTAACAATTATATACTGGATTAGGCGTGTAGTTCAGCGAGAGAATGCTTACTTAGATGTACAAACCCTGGGCTCAATACCCAGTATTACAGGAAAAAAAAAAAAGGACATGGGGGAGCTAACAATTATACACCTAGGCTTATTCACTTGGCACTGTGCTAAGAGTGGAAGATGTCTACAAGCACTTCTGTTTATCAGTGAATTGTTTGAGCCATTTATTAATTACATGTCACTGCTAAAAATATCAAGTAATATTTAGAGTAGCCTTAGTACTGTGGCCATAATGAGGCAGAAACTATTATTATCATCCTTGTCTTATAAAGTTGTGATCTACTCTCGAGTAGATCTAGAAAGTGATGGAGCTGAGATTTTGAACCAAGTCCAAATTCTACACTCTTGGGCCATCCCTGAGGGATTACCTTGTGCTGCGCTGTGAAAAGGATGGAAAACAGACCAGTTCCTACTGTCAGGGAGGAAGTGTGGGAAACGATGACTTCCTCACTGATTTTGGAGGAGTCCATGAAGAACGAGGCTTGAAGAGTTTATAATTATGGAAGAGATGCAGTGGGGCAGATAGGTGGGCAGGAGGCTGGAAAGTATGAGTGCCCAGGCCCCATAGTCAAGTGTCCCTAATGGGGAGACAACTGAGGACCCTGCCTATATGTGGGGAGGGGCACAGGTGGGTAGCAGCTAACTTACTGGAGGAGGCGACCCAGCTGGACTGCAACCACCCAATGGGGTGAGGCAGGGAGTATGCAACTGGAAGAGGAAGTAGCCATACAAAGAAGATTTTAGTCTGAAAGCAATAAGAGCCCATTTATTTTTATTTTTTAACATAATTTTCCAATTTATTTAGGTGTAATATGACCAATAACCTATTCTCTGTAACTCAGGATTCTAATATTCTGTATGTGTGATTCAGAAGTGAGCATGGTGTGTGTGTGTGTTCACGTCTGTGTTTTAGAGTCAAAGGCAAATGTGGAATCATCTAGGTGAAGATGAAAGGAATTTAGAACAAAGTTGAGCTAAGTGCTCCTATCTGAGCTGAAGTTGACCCAAAACAAACACGTACAGTGATTCATCTGTAATTTGGGTTTAGAATTTAATGTGCTGAAATATAGCCAGGAGGGTCCCCAGAGGGTTGCAGCCCTATCCTTATCTGAATCCCATCAGTCATCAACCTATAATGTAAGGAGCAATATACACATGGAACAAAGCCCTGAGACTCTCAGCCTTCTAGATAAGAAGGGACCTGACCAGACTTCTGGCCCAACTGCCTACTCCACTAGAAGTCACCACCAGCCCTGCCCATTCTTGCATTTCCTTTCTGGAATCACACAGGACATGCAGAAAAGAAATCTTTCCCCCAGAAGTGGTTGCACATTCTTATAATCCCAGCTACTTGGAAGATTGCAAGTTCAAGGGCAGCTCCGGCAATTTGTCAAAACCTTGTCGACCCTGTCTCAATAAAACAACAACAAACTAAAGCATTTCTTTATTTTTTTAGAAATGCAAATGCACTTTCCCCACATTTTTTATTGGTGCATTAGAGTTGTACCTAATGATGGGATTTGTTGCTACATATTTGTATATGCACACGGTATAACAATATAATTAGGCCACTATCACTCCCCAGCAGAACATTTCTACTGTGTCTCCTTGTCAAGGTCCTTACCTTCTCTAGGTCCCCAACTTCTTCCTCAATAAAATGGACATAACATGTAGACCCACCTTATTGATTGATTAGTAAAGTGTGCAGGCAATAGCAGACCGAAAAGATTCCTTTGTAAACTGTAAAGTGCAGTACAGTTGGGCGTTTTTGTTATGATCCTTATTGGTATTGCTTGGGAAATAATCAAATCAGAGGCCAAACATCCCGGCCCCCACTCTTCTTAACGCAGGGACCGTCCGACGGCGGCCAAACTTCACTGCGGTGCGGTGCGCTGCGGCTGCTGATCTGGGGACCAGGGGTCGCTTTGAGGAACGCCGGGGCCACCCGGCCAGGGCTCCCAGCGCTGGGACCCTCGGCGCCCGGACGTGGATCCTGGCCGCTCCTCCGCTCGCTCCGCCCGGGGGCGGGGGCTGCGGGGTCCAGGAGTGATAAAGCCGCCGCCGCTTGGGCTCCGGGACCCACGAGTTGCGCGGCACCGGGCCATGCGCGAAAGGCTGAGCGCCGCTTGCGAAGCGGCCCGGCCGCGGCTGTGCCGTTTTCTGCGCTGGATCCTCCGAGCGAAGCCCTCCCGCCGCCCCTGCGCAGCCAGGTACTCCCCGCCCGCCTAGGTGTCCGCGACAGAGGGTGGCGGGAGGGCGACTCCTGACCGGGACAGTCCAGCCCGGCC